TTCAAGCATATAACGAAAATGCTGAATACTGTCATGAATCGCGAGTAACTCACGATCAAATGCACTGTACTTTACTTCTGCCTCGGACAATTTTCTAGAATAAAATGCTAAGGGCTCTGCCACCACACCCCGCATCTGCTGCAATACACCTCCTATTGCAATGCATGATGCATCAACTGTCAATGTTAATCTTGATATACCATCAAAATGACTCAACATAATACGAGACGCAAAGGCTGTCTTAATATCCTCGAAAGCTTTCTGAGACCTATCATCCCATACAATTTTCTTGTTTTTATTGGCTAACGCGCGATTCAACATCTCATGTATAGGGCTAGACAATTCCGCGAGCCCAGGAATGTACCTATGATAATAATTGATCATACCCATGAACTTTTGCATGAGTTTAACCGTGTTTGGCTTCTCAAACTTCTGAATAGCAGATACTTTCTCATCTGGAGGTCTAATACCCTCCTCCGAAATGTTATGCCCCAGAAAATCCACATTTGTTGCACCGAATATGCACTTCCCTGGTTTAATGTTCAATCCATACTCCTGTAGCCGCGAAAACACAATGCTCAAGTGCCGTAAATGCTCCTCTTCAGTTTCACTAAAAATTAATACGTCGTCAATATAGACGAATATAAAGTCTAGTCCTCTTACTACTTCATTTATGAACCGCTGAAAAGTTTGAGATGAGTTCCTCAACCCAAACGGCATTCTAACAAATTCAAACATTCCGAATGGCGTAGTAATCGCGGTCTTGTGTATATCCTCCGTTGACATAGGAATCTGGTGATAAGCCCGCACTAAATCCAACTTTGAAAATACCCGTTTTCCCTTCATGTTCATGTTTAAGTCATGTATGTGTGGAATGGGATACCTATCAGGGACTGTTACAGCATTTAACTGCCTAAAATCTCCACAAGGTCGCCAATCATCTGGATCCTTCTTGGGGACTAAATGCAATGCCGATGCTACACTTGAATCGGAAGGCCTGCAAATCCCACATCTGACTAGATATTCAAATTCTGCCTTAGCAACTTTATATTTCACAGGATCCAATCTCCTAGGCTTTGTATAGGGCAATGGTCCATTAGTAACTATCCTATGTACAGTCGAATGTTTAACTGGTTTCGTATAATCAGGCTCAGCCGTTAATGAGGGAAACTCCTTCAGCAGTTTCGTATATTGATCTTGGTAAGCAAAAATCTTTGGTAACTGAATGGAACACAACTGTGAACATGTAGACACCTTTAAATTTGTCAGAGGGTCTACCAACACTCTATTTCTGATATCAATTAACATTCCGTACTTGTGCAGAAAATCCGCTCCTATTATCGGTCTGTTTAGTTCGCCAAAGTAAAAACAAACTGAAAATCTCGACGTAATCCTAAATCTACGTTTAACAACTTCTTTCCATATGTCTGAATTGCTGATCCGTTAGCCGCGGTTAGGACGACGTCTGAAACCCTTTTACAACCTTTAAATTTTGACGCCGGCAAAACCGATATATCGGCTCCACTATCCACTAAAAATTTTAATTTATTCGTTCTATCATACACAAATAAGCGACGCGTTGTTTTTTCCGCACCCCCATCGCTAGTCGCTTTCACAACGGGCTTGCTTAGTTTTTTGAACTATTACCTTCCCTAAATGCGCACGGCTGCTCGCAGTTCCTGGCATCTTGACCGAATCTATAGTGGAACCTACATAGCCAATTCTTCTTCCAAGTTCCCGATCGTGATCTTCCACTAAACCTCCCACTTCTATCTGGGCCCTGCATTTCTCCGAACTGTCTCTTCATCATAGAAACCTCCAATGATAGCTGGCTAAACCCTTGGCAAATATTATTTGTGGTCTGAACTAAACCTTCGACTACCTTACCCATATCTGTAATTTGCGACGTCTCTGCCGATGTTGAGGAAATTCCTAGAGCAGCTATTTCATCTTTCTGTAACACTTCCCAAATATCATCTGCTAATTTAATTAGTTGATTTATATCAGTAACATTGGACCCCATTAGTGCCACATTAAGATTTTTCGGCAATTTTCGTATCCATAGTCTCTTTAACATGTCCTGGCTAAACCGTGTACCTGCCAATAACAACATAGCTCTATAAAATTCTGAAGGCTTTTGATCTCCTATTTCAGAATCAGCCACTATTTTCTCCAAACGTTTACTCTCGCTTAAAGTGTGCCGTTTAATCAAAACATCTTTCAGAACTTCATATCTATTATTACCCGCCGGGTTCTGTATCACATCTAGAACCATCATAATCACATCTTGAGGTAATGCTGTAATGACATACTCGTATTTAGTCTTATCCACAACGATACCTTTAGTTGCGAACTGCATCTCGACATGAATAAACCACGCCTCAGGGCAATTTGTCCAAAACCCCGGAAGCTTAACCGCTGCCGCCGACACTTCCATACCATTCCTCTGACCTATCATATTAGAACTATTCAAAACTTGAGATTGCGCATCCGTATTAGAATTTAATGTCACGTTATGATCCCCTGAACCGTTTTCGTTCGAGTCCCGATCTGTTCGCTGTGGTGATCTTAACATTTTGATGCTTTAGGGAGGAGTTCACACAAAAGGTAATATGTAATATAAATATAAAAAAAGATATTGACAGTAATATTAACGATAACTCTAAATCAAAAATTCGTTGAAACAAATACAATTCAGCTATTCATCTTCCGATTCACCAAACTTACTCGTATTGAGATGATTTCAAACCACGTAAGACATCTCCAGAAAATTCTTAAATAGCTTCCTTTAATTGCAAACAGGATTCCTCGCCAAAAAAAACACGTAATTCCTGCTAGACGATATCACATTTGTAGAAAAATTGTATTCTCCTTGTCACAATATCTCTTGTAGACGTATTGCGTGACGAATATTCAATAATGATAAATTTTCACGGCCAGTCAATCCAATTTTCATTCGATTCAATCAATTATATATCAGGGATCTTGTATGCTTATCAGCGGTTTTAAATCCAATTTTTTATTTGCTTTATCAGCGGTCTGCGGAATTGTACGCTTATCAGCAGTTTTAATTTGCTTCAGCTCCTGGCAGGATCGCCAATTGTAGGAACACGTTTATTTCCAATAAGTTAACGATGTATCTTTATTAACAAGCAAATTCTGACTCCATGACAAATATTATATGTTACAAATTCAAAATATGTATATGCATATTACTCCAATGAAAACTTGATTGACAAATTACAAAATGAAAAATAATAAAGTGTACCTACATCATGTTTATGAACACAAATTCATGGAGTCTGCTATCGATGCCTTGTCGATGGCATCTGAAGTCCTGACGAATGTGTGGCGGGGTTGGATCTGTCATCATGATTGGAATGAAACGACTGACAGCTAGCCAACAGAATATTATATTGCCTGGCAGAAGCCTGGTCCACTTATGGAGGTGATCGACACTCATCGTCACGATCCAATCCTTTGCAATTCGGAGAGCAATATTTTGATATATTTACAAGGATTTCCAAAGTGTGTCGCTAATGAAGGTCCAGATAGGAGTTGCATAAACTGTGAGCGGAGCAGTATATTCGGATGGGTCTGACCATAAGATAGCCTACCCCTGAGTTCCAAGTTTCTGCATATCTATATTTCGAGTCTGGGAAATATTTCACTCTCTTGAACAATTAGTGGTTAACAACTTCTATGCGGCATCTTTTCCGAATCAAGATTTAAATTTTGTTATTTTACAAAAAAAAATGTTGGTTCAGTTTCCTCGCTAAATATTGAGTCAGCCATTCGAATTAGCTGGTCAGATCCCAAATTACATTAGATGAATGAAATGATGTCGTCTAGAGTGACTAGAAAACCCGACAAAAATTAAGTTTTCGGTCCATTTCATCCCTGAAATATCATCGGATCATTATCAAAAATTATAGGTGTTATCCTTGACCATAATCGAAATTTCAAGTAAAAATCACTCCTCTTTGATATACTATCAACTTCTCGGGGTCAATGTCCTTACAGAGTAAATATATACGCCATTTTTAATTTTCCAAACAAGTCTGGAATCATTAGACCCGTTAAAAAATGGCCGATGCAAATGTCGTACCTAAGTCGTAGCCTCTGATCAACGTAGCTAGTCGAGATAAGACGATCGGCATCGGTGAGTCTATGGCCAATATTTCACTGCGTTACAAACTCTTGAGGCTATACAATAATACCCTTACAACATATTTCTGTAGGGTATACAAAATATCATAAAAAACATATTTTATATGTGTTTTAATTATAATTACATACTTTTGAAACCAATTTCCTTTGAATAACCCTGTATATTTCTCATTGATACAGTGGTAGCATGATCATGTCCTGATGAAGTGATCCTATTTTACCCTGTTTTCACCACATGCTATTCCATTGTACTCCTTTAATTTAATTTAATTTAATTTTTCTAATATCTTTCTACTAAAATGTTTATTTCACACCTTAGTTCACAAAAAATTATCAAAGGGATGCTAAATAAATTACAACATTTTGTGAGAAGTGGTGAGATAATTACAAAAGAGCGAGAGCCAGACAGCAGCCAAGGCAACTTAATAATTGAGAAATGTAACAAAGAGATCTATCTGTCAAATATTTTTTTCTTGCCACTGCAAGAAAACTATTCTCTTGCAAAAACTCACGTACGCTGAACATACACAACACAACTCTCTAAGTAGAACAATCAATAAGAAGGCAGGCAGTTGTTGTGTGAATGTACGTACTTAAAAACAAAGAAAGAACATTAAATTCTAAACTCGAAATCAAAACAAAATAAGATAATTTAAATAATGGAAAACATATGATTGTGTATGATGACCCCATAATTGAAATTATTAAACGTTTTGGGTGGGGGGAGAAAGAGAAATCCCCCCAGAAAAATCTCTAATTGAGGTTAGGTGTATTTGTCTCAAATAAATAAACAAAAAAATATTTGTTGTAATGTTTGTTGGTCGACTTACCTGTTTGCCATCGACTTCAATGTCGGCCACATAATTTTCAAATACAGTGGGCACATACACTTCAGGGAATTGATCTTTGCTAAAGACAATCAGCAGACAAGTCTTACCACAGGCACCATCGCCAACAATAACCAATTTTTTACGAATCGTCGTCATTGGTTCTGCAGAGATGAACAGAGGGAGAGAGAAAAACAACAAATGGAAGAAACAAAAAAGAAGAAACATTAAATAATAATAAAAATTAAATCGTTGTTTTTGTTTTCTTAAGGAAAAAGTAACAACAAAAAATGTGATATTGTTTTTTTTTTATTATTATGACAATTTCCATAATTATTATTTTTGGTGAATTAAAAAAGAAAATAAAAAGAAATTAAACACCCACTGCTTTTTTTGTGGCCCATAGTGTGATTGCTGTTGTTGTTTCTGTTGTTTTAAAAGGAAAGTAGTATTCCTCCAATATATTTGTAGGGTGGTGGTGGTGATGATGATTGGTTGGCTGACTGACTGGCTTGGAAGTTAAACGTTTTTTTTTTTTAGCGAAAGAAAACACACGAAAAAAAATAAACCAGCAAATAAATGACGACAATGTTAAATATGGCCGCCCGTTCGTTGCTGCTGGTTTTGGTTGGTGTGCCCCCGTAATGGCCAGCCCAGTAAAAAAAAAAACACCAATAAAATCAAGCGTTTTATTTTTTTTTTCAATACGCGAATTTATGACACAAATGTGAAAAGAACAATTGTGGTTTGCTTTCAATGAGTGAACTTATGGTGTTTTCTTTTCAGTTTTTCTTCTTCTTCACATTGGGTGAGTAAGAAATTGTTGATCACTCTGTTGTTTTCGTTTTTTTCGTTGCTCTCCTCCTTGTTGCTGTTGTGTGATTGGGCGGAGGGGTTTCTCCTTAATGTTTGACGTACGTAGCAGAAGAAGAGGAAGAAAAGTCATCTACGTCGTCTGCCGTTAAAGTGCGTAGTTGACATTCTATTAATGTTGTTATTTTTTCTTTTTTATTTTTGTCCATTACACAGAGTGTCGAAAAAAAATTAACAGATGTTTCTTTCGCTAACAAAAAGAGAAAACTTTGCTTATATCAATTGATTAAATTTGCTCACATTTTTTCGTTTAATTTTTTTCAACAAAAGACACCAACTAGAGTAACGACAGCAGACAGATGACAAATGACGTTTGTACTCAATTGCTTGTTCTTCGTGTTGTTGTTCTTGCGTTGTAAATTGTATGCAATAACGGAGACAGCAGAGAGAGTGAAGTCTTGTTGCTCACACTACTGCTGACTGACCCTTAATTGTCAACAAGTATTTACAACAAAATGCTGCTTCTTCTTCTTCCTTAGAATTCACTTTTTTCTGTTCTTTTGTATAAATTTTTTGTAAAAAAACATTTGTTGCTTTATTTTTCGTTTTTGTTCATCAAGAAGCTTTTTCCTTCTTTTTGTGGTCAATAATATTAATATACAATTGAATTTGTTTCTTCTTCTTGTTCATATTCAACACGAAGTACTGACTAACTGGCTGGCTGGCAGGCAGACTTTGCTGCTGAAGTAGATAGAAGAAGCAGAATCGTCGAATCAAATGGAGAAGAGGAGAAACAACAACACAAAAAACAGGCAAATACAAAGAAGAAGCAGAAATAGAAGTAGTATGTGTTTGCTGTTGTTGCTGCTGCTGCTGCCCTTCCTTGTACACTCCCCACCACACAACCCTTATTGTGTAAAACCGTATACATTCCACCTTAATCATCATCACACACAACAGTTCAAATTCATTCGTCCGTCGTTCGTTCGTTTGTTCATTTTTTTCGCTTTATTCCAATTTCTTATTAACACAAAACTCGCACACACATAAACACTTTTCCTATATATGTATTCATATACACACACACACACATTTAAACGCATTCAATCATCGTTCATGATCATAATTCACTTTTTTTCTTCTTCGTGAAATTTCAAAAAAAAACTTAATGCAAACCAAAAAAAATTCCTCAACAATTTTTTTTTTTCATTTTAAAAAAATCTTTCAAACTTTGGGCCACAATATTTGCACTTTATTTTTTACTTTTCATAATTTTGGAAATTGCATACTTTGTAGTAAATTTTCTTTTTTATTTCGTTTTTCTTGTTACCCACATATATTTTCGTACATACATTTTTTTTGTAATATGCTCAAAAATTTCCTCTTGACAAAAATTAAAAAGGTACTCCTTCTTCTTCGTTTTTTCTTCTTTTTGTAGCAACAACCAGCACTTTCTCTACACTTTTATTATTTTGCAAAAAATTAGTATCGTTTATGCCACTCTTTAGAAAAAATTATCAAAAAATCAAATTTTTATTTCGTTAAGTTGCTTAATATGTGTTGTTTTCACTTGTTTCCAAAAAAATTTCTCATGCAGTCTACTTGAAAATTATGATGACAGACAACGCCTTGACGTTCAGAGTTTCCGATGTTGTACGAACAAAAAAAAAATGAGAGACAAAAAACTGAATTGTTGAGAGAGATAGCTGTAGTTAAAACTCTACAAGTGGAAGAGAGATGAATATATGTTTACGAGGCGGATGTCATTACCGGGTATCTGAGGGATAATTGATAGTCAGTGTGTAGTCATTAACCATGAAATATGTGATTTTGAACAATCATGTTGCAAAATAATAAAATGAATGGTTATTAAAATATTTATTTATTTTAGAATATGGTTAATAAAATTATCAGTATAATTTTTTATAATGTTTTAAAATTACAGATTTCATAAATCAGTCATTTAGCCATACTATTGTGAATGGTCACTATTAAAGTAACCGCTTACACAAGTAATGCTACCAGGCCACATATCAATATCTATATAACTATTACTAAATATTTGTGAATAAACAATTATAATATTATAAAATATGTTCTTAAAAAATTAATTGTCATGAAAATATGTGTGTATGTGGTGTTAATTCGAGTTTTACTCAAAAAATATATAATATAAAAATGAACTATTTTATTTACACAAAAAAAGAAAAAACATTTTAAATGATCTCCTGAAATAGATATAATAATAAATAAATAATAAAATAAACTTGTTGTTAAACCATACAATAATTGTCAACATAAACAATTATAATATTTTTAATTGGTTTTAATCTATCTATCAGCAAGCGAAAGTCAGCTACCTTTTCTCAAGTTTAATGTCAAAAATTTAAACTTTGTTTACGTTTTGATCATGGAATTCAATTCATCAAAACGGTTTTTGACAGCAAAGTTGAGAAGCAGCTGATATCCAGCTGGCCCCCTGGAAGGCCTTATTAAAAGGCCTTGGCTGCAGCTTTATATAGGGGCTACCCTAAAAAGTGAGTCTATTGGTTTGTTCCAGAACCTGCACGAATATACAACTTTTTACTTCGATAACAATTTTTTCTTTATGATATCGGAAAAAATAGTAAAAATTAGTAGATTCCGGCGGTATGGGAACAGAATAAATATTTATAATTTTGGTAGGAATACTTTCTAACCAGTGAGAATTCAAAATACCAAATTACAGCTGATTAGGTTGAATTATGTGCCTAAAAGTCTCAAAATACCGATCATTGGGATAACCTAAAAAGTACACCGATATAACACATATATATCTTTATGATATCGAACAAAATATTAAAAAGTAGTAGATTCTTGTTGTTCTGGAAAAGACATTATATATTTTTGCTTACTAAAATTAAAGAATATCAATCCCTTCAACTTCCGATATTTTGAGAATTTCAATGTCCATCGGATGAGGGAGAGAATCAGAAGCTCGGTCTGGCCGATGTTTGTTTTTACTTTTTCGAAAATGAGATTGGGTCAAAAGTTAAGCTGTGTACACACTAGCACTGGCTGTTTTCTTGTGCTTTATGTTTTTGGCTCGCCTCCCGACTAGCCAGTATTACAGCGCCACCACCACCAAGGCAGTTTTTTCCCGCTTACTGACTGCCCAACAAACATAAATATTTTTGTGTTTGCCGGATGAATTACAAACATGTGAAAAAATCAAGCAAGAAAAATTTGGCAATAGTGTCATTCAAAAATGCTAGTGTGTACACCGTTTTACGATGAATGTGCTATAAAGAGATAATTAACGATTTTTTAATGAGATCGTCCATTAAGATAATGCGAAACAGCTGTTTCGCAAGATTTTTTTTTACTGCTATAACGATTTTTTTCCTTATCACATCGATAAAATAGTACAAAATTAACTTTAAACAAACTAAGCGTTTCCTGGGTGACCTTATTAATAGGCCTTGATCAGCTGTTTATCAAGTTTGCTATCGTAACACATTTAGTCTGTTCCCGTACTGCAAGAATCTGCTACTTTTTACTACGATAAAAAATGTTCCTTTATGCTATCGAACAAAATAGTAAAAACTAGTAGATTCTTGCAGTACGGGAACAGACCATTTATTGTGAATAGAATTCTCAATGGGTTTATTCTTTACAAATTTATTTTTCACTTTATCAAATTAAGCTGAAAAAACTGTTCTTCCCTCTGTGTGAATATAATAGTATTGCCCCTATATAAATGTAATTTAATCCATTGCCACCCCACCTAACATTGCTGTTCATTTTGGTATTATTTCCACAGAAATGCTACCGAAACTATCACCCCTGACTACATGTGCTGCATTTGTTTATCATTTCAAAGTTGTGCACGTTCCAGACGGTGATCCCCATTGATTTGTATTAACAAAAATTTCGTTACATTTCCAAATTCTAGAAAAATTTGCACGGCATCCCTCTGAGATGAACACAAAAGACGGCAGTACAATAACAAAAAAAGAGAAAGAAAAACTAAAACAAAAGCTAATGAATCTCCTCAAAGAACATGAGTCGAAAACAAAAAATAAAAAACAGTCACAAATGAAATCGTCAAATAGTAGAGAAAACGAGGAGCTGAATTCCCAACAACAAAAGCAACAAGTTAATGAACATGCTGGCCAGAAACAGAAGAAGATGCCAAAAATTCCCATGGTAAATAAAGGAAAGCAAGACAATGCAAGCATGATGTTAAATGGAAAGTCGAAGAAAAGTGTCAATAAACAACAGCAGAAGAAGGAGGAAAGTAATGTGAAAAAAGCCGGCTTAGAAATGAAGTCGAAGAAGCCGTTAAATGAAGGTGCCAAAGATAGACCT